ACTTCAGTTAAAAGCATTCCAGCAGCCAGGGGCATTGCGTGACTCACTCGGACGATGCTGAAACGCATGGTTAATAATGAGCATGAGACCAGATAGGTTAGCTCGCTATAACGGAGCTGCGTTCGGCAGAGGCAGTGAGGCTGAAGGCAACGCAGACAGGCGCTGCTTGGGGCCCTGTGCTTTCCAGAGGCCTTTGCTTACTAGCATCGCTGTCCCGCAGAAGCCAAGTGTTTCGGTGGGGGGGGCACAGGCAGCTCAGCATCCTTCTAAGCCTCCTGCCTCCGATATAGGACCAGGAGCCCTCCGGTCACGACATCCATGTGTGGGCAGGCTGGCTCGGCAAACCTGGGCATAGTCACACTTCCCCTCTCTAGGTCCCTACAGGGCTTTCACTCGATCTCCCAGAAATGCTGCTGGAGCAGAGGGCTGTTTTCTCCGACACCCAGCGTGGAGTCCTTCCAGCCCATGAAGGCATGTCAGAGCCGAATTCAGTCTGGATGTGCGTGCGCAGATCCTAGGGAAGCCAAGCAGGGCTGCCCGTGGGAAACCAGCCAGGTGCCATAAAGGGCTGGGGGAATTTATTTCCATCTCCTGCCTGGGGGAGACCCTGCAGAGGCTGTTTCCACCTACATGGAACACCTTTATTTTCTTCTCTTGGGTTGAAAAAGAGTGCTGCCACATTCCCTCTCTTGACCCCAAATTGCTTGTGCGCCCAGGTTACAGGCCACGTGACTGGCCTGAATGCACGAATGCAGCTGCTTTTGGCAGTAGCCTTTTAGCATACACCGCGTGCTCTTGACATGCCTCCGCCTCTGGCTTTTCTGCTTGGATGTCCCCTGGCTATCCTCCCCTCCACCTAAACTCTGCATGCAGTCATTCTTGCAATAGCCTGATTTCCTCCTTCAGCCGAGTTGGCAGGCAGGAATCCCAACACCGCCTTCCTGACAATTCGGGACAGACGAAAGTACCTGGTGCCTTACCCTGACAATGCATGTGGCGATGCCCGACTTGGGTCAGCCAGCAGTGTTGGTGTGCTACCGATGCACCCTTCCGTAGCGCCCCCGGCACACGAGGCTACGCCTGCAGATGATAGTCCACAGTATTGCCAACTTGATTGGGGATGGGTGTGCATGCAGCTCCACCAACCCAACCCATCTTATAGATGAAAGAAAGAGTGAAGTTTTTCACATTCCTGAACTGTAGACTAAGAACAACGCCAAAAATCCCGAGAGTTGGTACTATGAGTCCAGGCCATCACAATGGGAATCTCGCAGGGTTTGGCCCGGGGGTCTCTGGCTTCCCTTCACCCACCAGCACGATCGCTGCAGCTTCTTGCAAAGCGGAGGCAGTCGGCCCTGCTGGGAGGGGAGCATCGCCCGCGCGTCTCTGTCCGCCATAGGATGGAGGTTACAGCATTCCTACCTAAACCAGCTTGGTCTCCTTCTTCTCAAGAATAGGTTTCTTTTTGGCATTGTACGTCCAGCTTGTGGAAAGGGAACTAACCTTACTGCAACACCCCTGGTCCCGCGAAACAAAGAATACAAGAGAGGAGACTGGTTTTCTTTTTCTCTTTTCTCTGGTTTGTTTAAAAAATATCTTCAATAAAAAGAACCAATGTCCCTAAACGATTACCCCTTTTTTTGGAGGGAAGTGAAGGGGAAGATAAATATTAAAACCATGAGGTTTTTGGGGGTTTTTTTTGGTAAAGACAGTACAGACAGTAAAGACTATCATCCTTTTACATCGTAACAGAGACTTTCAAGATGGTAGGGAGGTACAGAACCACTTTGGGCCAAATTTGTATGTGTTTGTGTGTGCGTGTGGGGCATCCAGCTGGCTGTGTCATGGTGTTGGCTGTGTTTCATAGTGAAGGGCAATGGCTGGTGGTAGAAATGTCCTAGCTACGGGAGCCGCAGCAGGCAGCTCAAGTAAACAAGTCCTCGTGCGTTACAAAAATATACATATATTATAGATTCGCCACCCGCCGCGTTTCCCGTCCCGTGGGAACACTCGCGAGAGAGACCACGGCAAATACACTCAACACCGAACCAGGCCGCCACGCCGCTGGGGGAAGGAGGGTCCCTTTATTTACAAAGATACACTATTTGGCAATAGGAGCCCCAGACATGGCAGTAGCACGACGGTAAGAAGTCATGCCTGGAGCTGGCGTACTGGAGCGTGCTGGGGTATTGCTCCCTAAGGGATACCTGCGAGTTTCCTTACCCATTAATACTGAAAAAGACCCGGCCGTGTGCACTAGGGTTGGTCCCCCGTCTGCCTCCTGGCCCTGTTTTTAACCCAGAGAGCTGCAGATCTCTGGCAGGGATTGTATCCCACCAAATCTCCTTTCAACTCGCAGCCTGGACCACGGAGCTGCACGAGCATCCTTCGTGGGGCACGAGGTGCAAGGTGGAGGGTTGCTATCGGTTTGGAAGTGGTGCCCGTCCTGCTCCTTACGGCCGTCTCCGCTCCAAGCCCAGCTGGGGTAGCACAACGACACATCTCCCCGTTCCTGATGCGGGCTCTGCGCGAAGGCGGGTAGGGGAGGATGAGTCTGGGTTTGAATCGGGATGGGGACATGCTTAGCAATCACGACACTTCGCCAAGGCCTTTGTGGACTTTGGGCGTGAGTACCAAGCCACCCCGCGTGGGATTTTCCTTCCGATGGAAAGGCAGGGGCTGGTGAGGAAGGCAGTGCACCAGCTTGTCTTCCAACCACCGCTTCCATGAGCAATGAGAGCAATAAGCAAACCACGGTGGTCCTGCCAGCGCAGACCCCTGGCTGCTGGGGATGGTGGCAGGAAAGGTGGCACGGACGGTCTCTCTGCTGCTCATTTTTGCCCTCCAAAGCCTCTGCCCTGGATTTAATCAGGGTCCAGGCCCCGTCTCCACATCCTATAGAGGGGCTCAGGGGTTTCTTTGGCTTCTGTTTTGCCCTCAACCCCCAATCACAGAAGGGTGCTGCCAGGTCTGCTCCCCCCGCTCGACCTGCTGCCTCGGCTCCCCGCTGCCCAGCCTTTTCCCCCTTTTGCTCCATGTTTGCTTGAGCTGGGCTTCCCACAGCCCTCCCATGAGACGTAGTTTTTTGCTGCTGTATTACAAGCACAGCCGGACGCAATGCAGGCGTCTGGGTCTGCCACGAACCCAACATCCCAAACCAGGATTTCCCCCAGAACAGGATTCCCCAGTTTTCTCTTTGCTGGTTTTTTAAGGCTTCCCTGCACCACCTGAAACTTTGGCCCCCTGCTTGGGGACACGCTAAGAAGCCAGGCACCTGCATGAGCTGAACAGCCCAGCTGGTGGGAAACTTTGGGTTTCTCATCTAAATTGTAGAGGGGAAAAAAAGGTCCATCGGGGAAATTCCCAGCCCTCTCCCAGGGCATCTCCTCCCAGCCAGGCAGGGGACCACCCTCCATCGGCTCGGAGCCTGGGGTGCAGTGGGGTCCATCCCCATGAGACCATCTTCCAGGCATGGAAAACGGGAGGGGAATGGGAGCCCTCCGGTATCACAGTGCAGTTCCTTTCTCCCCATCAGTGCAAGGCAGCTCCGGCTGGGAAGCGAGCAGCTCTGGTTTGACCGTCGGACTGGGAAGCTCACGCAGAAGGGCTGTGATCAGGGGGTGGGAGGTTACATGTTGGAGGGGGGAGATGGGTCCTTCACGCCTCGCCCGCCCTGAACAGGACGCAGCTCCTGCCACGGAGCACGGTGCCGCCACCCGATGCTGGTGGCACGTGCCCCGCCGCGTCCCGCAATGAAAGTTGACTACGAAGCGTTGAAAATCAAATGTAAAAAAAAAAAACTAGGGAAAAAAAAAAAAAAAAAGAAAAGCAACACATCTCGAAGGGGAGACGGGGGGAGATGGGGACCAGCCGGTGAGGAGTGCGATAAAGTGACCTCTTCAGACCTAGGAGTGGGGATTTGGGGTGGGCGGGGGAGAGGCCAGGCCTGACTTCAGCCCCTCGAGTCTCCTCTCCCGTGGCCACCTCCCGCCCACGCCCTCGTGCCTGCTCCAGACGACGACCGGGATTCAGTAGTAAAAGCGAGGCCTGAGTCGGACGATCCCACGACGGCGCTGCCCCGGTTCGAAGAGGCAACGCCAGGAAGGTCACCGAGGACGGGATGGGAGGGAGAAGATGGAGGGGACGTGGAAGGGGGCAGGGGTATGATATATCCTAGTGGTCAGGAAACCAGGGTGATGGTCGTAGCTAAAGCTAAAAACTGGAGGTGGACGGTGAGAGCGAGGAACAAGGGCGAGGGGGCTGCAGCCCTCCTGGCCCCCAAGGCTTCCCTACAGCGTGGGGGAAGAGAGACGGACCCCCCACCGCCCGGTCCACCGGCATACAAAAGAAATTGTTTGTGGGGCTTCCACGGGCCGCTGGCGTCGGGGACGGGGGACGCGGGGGCCTTAGGACTCTGAGGACGACCGGGAGACGCTCTGGAGCAGCGATTTGTATATGGCAGAGTTCAGGAAGCGGGGGTAGGAGTCTCTGTGCATGAGCGTGTAGATCTGCAGCTGCGCGTCGTCGAAGGTGTGTGACGAGGGCTCCTGCATCTTCCTGTTGATGACCTCGCGCACCCGGGAGTCCAGGCTCACCTGCGCGGCAGGGAGAGGACAAGGCCGTTAGCTGGTGCGACCGCCCCCCTTCCCTGGCGCGCGGGGCACCGCCCCAGCCCCCAAAACCCCCGGCCCAGCTGCATGGCACGAGCCTCCCGCATACAGCCCCTTCCATCTGCCTGTCCCTGCTCGCTTGGCCGAGGACCCTTCAAGGGGTTTAGCTGCCTGACTGGCACCAAAGGGCGCGTCTCCATGTGCACTTTAATGCGCAGTAGCCTATTTTACTGTGCATTAAAGTGGCACGTAAAAAAAATGTGCTATTATGCTAATGCGCAGTAAAATAGGCTACTGTGCATTAAGTATCGCCTAAAAAGTGTGTGCTTGCACTACGGCACATTAAGGCAGCCTAATGCATATTGATTTAGTACCTCACATTGGAGGTACTATATTTAATGCACATTAGGAAACGTGCCTTAACGCACACACCCAAAGAGACCCTTCCTGAGCTGCCGGCAAGGGCTGCCATGCTAGCATCCCTCAGGGTTGGCTTCCCGGTGCCCTCTCGAGGCAGAAGCCAGCAATACGCTGAGCGTCCCCATCCCAGGCTCTCCAGGGACGTCTACCTCCTGTTCAGGTGTTGCATTCAGGCAGGGAGAAGCATCCTCCTGCTTTAGGAGGCCACAGTCCCAGGTCCCCAGTGCCCCGGCCATCTGTCACAGCACTGCAAAGCTGCCTTTCCGCCTCTCCATGGGGTTTACACCTCCTTTCCCCGAGGAACAGGGGCTGGAGGGTTGCGTGCACATGTGGCACTGGCCACAGGGCATGCGAGCTGCTGTTGGCTAGGAGCGGGGGGAGCCAGTCCAGATGGCCTTGGGCGTATTGATCTTTAAAAGCCAAGAGTCTGAGCAGGGAGGGTGACTTTTTTCTTTTAAAATAATGCGGTCAGACAAAAAGCTGCCCCTGGGCTGGGTCCTGCCAGCCCAGCCTGAGGTCCCCGGGGATTTCCACGGCAGGATCCTGACACCCGGAAAGCCAGGATGTGGGGCGTCTGGCTACCCCAGTCTTGAGCGCAACAGCACTGCAGACAAAAGCTGCTGCCACTCGAATCCCAAGCTTGTTGCCTGAGCTCTGGGATGGGGAGAAGAGGGATAAACTATGCCAAATGCAATGCAAGAGGGTCCTGGGCTGTGGTTGCTTTACCCCAATTAGGAACTAGATCTAGCAACAGGAAACGAGTGCCACTATTAACCCCTGTGGAGCTCTCTGGACGCCAGCCCGAACTGGCGTCCAGTTTATCCGTGCGTAGTGGAAGCGCTGCCAACGGCCTGTGTCATTCGTTTTCATTTCACACCTTTTGTGCATGCGGTTTGAGGCTGACGCCTTCCATCCTAAGGGAGACTTGTGTAGGCAGAGGAGGGTTGTAGGATCCAGGTCTCAGTAGAGATAAGGCCCAGCCTCTCAAGGGGGAAGGCAGCCACGCGCCCAGGAGTCGGGGGTCACGGGGACCTGGCAATGCTGGGGCACTTTGGGACTATGCTGGCCCCTTCCAGGAGCAGATGCATGGGTTCGGGGATCTCATTTAAAAAAAAAAAAAATATATTGGCCTACCCAAGGCTGAAGAAGGAGTGCATGCAGCTTAGCGTGAAGCTCGCACACCCTGCCTGAGATCCCACTGAGCCCCAAGGCTAGGGGCATGCCGGGAGCACCGTACCTCCTTGGGGGAGAGGATGGAGATGTAGTCCTCGTAGATCATCCGGGCCTTCTCGTCGATGGTGTGCTTGTTGCACTCGTTTTTGAGTTCCTCGCATGCTAACCAAAAGAGCATGTTTTCCTCGCTGTACTCAGTCCGTAAGAATTCCCGGAACACGTTCCGGCCGGCCGGGTTCTTCATCAGCTTGTCGAACGACTGGGACCAGCCCCGGACCTCCTCGGGAGTCGGTTTGGTGCTGGTCAGGCCGCAGCAAAGGGACATCACAAGAAAAGAAAAGGAGGAGGAGGGAACGAGAGAGAAAATTACTGTGGGCACTGGAACGGGTTACCCAGAGAGGTGGTGCAGCCTCCATCCTTTAAGACCCGGCTAGACAAAGCCGTGGCTGGGATGATGTAGTTGGGGCTGGTCCTGCTTGGAGCAGGGGGTCGGACTAGATGTGACCTCCTGAGCTCCCTTCAACCCTCATTTTCTATGATTTCTATGAGCCAAATCCTGCCTGCCCGTAGCTGGTGACTTGTCCTCTCTCCCTGCAGTCCCTAGGACAGCCTGCCCACCTGTCTCCTCCTGTCACGGAAGAGTTAATATCTGGGCGGCAAAATTTGGGAGCATCAGCTCAGACTCGTCCAAAGCTGCAAGGCATTGTGGGATAGGAAGGCTGGAGCGGTCCTGCGGGAAAGCAAAGTGGGTATATAAAGCAGCGTTTCCTGCCAGTGCCGAGGGGGTTAATATTTCCTGTTCGTGCTATCGCTGCCCATCGGACACGAGTCGCATCTCGCTAGTTCGCAGCGGGGTGTCGGTGTTCATGTGCATCGGAGCCGTCCCACGGCTGGTCTGGATTTCATGGGGATGCACACAGACATAACGGGGCAGCCGCTTTTGGCCATTCGGACTGGGAACGAAGAACCCCACCCTCGTCCTCCCACAAGCTGGGGAAGGGAGCACGTCCGATCTGGCCCCGAGTTTGGGAAGCTGCAAAAAAACCCAGGTCAGCTTTTACAGAGCGTCGGCTCGGGATAATACGCCCAAGGCGCGTTCATGGTGCTTAGCTGTTTCTTTTCCGCACTGCGAGCTGGGATGCGTCTGGAGTAAGCTCCCCAGCTGAGAGGTCGCCCCTGTCCCAGTACGCTCCAGCTGGGAAACCCCTGCCTTATCTTTCCGGATAGATTGCAAGCTGATGTGCTTGGAGATGGGTGACATTTTTGCAGCCAGCAGGAAATACATGGAAAAAGATTGCCGCCGGGAGATGGAAGTCAAGGGTCTGTCCTGAGTCTGGATCCCACGTGAAACTTGGCACATAGTTTGTGCCTTAAAAAAAGAAGGGGGAGGGAAGCGGGGGAAGTCTCACACAAGCTGGAACATGTCCTTTTGCAATAGTTGCCAATCAAAATCTTTCAACGATTTGCCTGAAAACGATGGTCCTGCTTGGAGCAGGGGGTTGGATGAGATGTGGCCTCCCGAGGGCCCTTCCCACCCTCATTTGCTATGGTTCATAGATTTAATGACATTGAACGAGGTCTACGATGTATGACTTGTAGGATGGTTGTAGGATGCCTTCACAGTGCAACAGACCTAACCTTTCTAGTTGAAACAAGGAGCTAAATAATGAAACAAACCTCCGGCCCCGCCAAAACCCCCCAATGAAACATCACACTAGACCCCAAATGACAAATTTTGGGAAGTGGGAAGTCCCCGGCTCTGTGTGAGGGGCTGCGATGTGGATACCTGACCTGGGCGGACACGCATTTAAAACCTCCGCGCCAGAGAGCAGCCGTGGGTTTGCAGCATCGCCGCAGGCTTCTCGCGGGGATACGAAGACCACAGGAAAGCTAGTTCTGTGGTTTTAATGGGTTACTTATTTACTTCTAAGGGCACTAATCAGTGGATGCTGGACCCACCAGGACCAGAGCCTGCCACATCCTGCAGTTACGGTTGGTTGGTCCAAGCCGGTGGCGGGTCTCAGATCTGGGAATAAAATGACCTTCAGGATCCTTGTCTGACTTGTGGGCTCCGTTCCTGCCGCCGCGGAGGAACAGCAGGACTCGAAGGAGTGAGTCGTGGGCGGCTGGTCGGGGTGTGGGCAGGCTGCGAAGGATGCTGACATCCCCAAGCAGAGCTGGATCCTGCCCTTGGGAAGCGGGGACGAGGGCAGTTACGGCCTGACGGCATCTCGCCTGCCCCTGCCTCTGTCCAGCCAAGACAATCGGTCCCTCGACTAATTACGAAATCCTTATATGGCCACGGCTCCCACAGCAGCAGGGCCTGCCACCCCCCTCCGGGCTTGCTATTCGGCGACCTTGTGGCTCGAGGTATATTTAGATCCCCGCAGGCTACATTTAGCTGTCGGATCCAGTGTGGGAAACGCGGGACCGACACGGCAGCAGGGCACCCCTGCCCTGACAGCCCAGGGAGGGGGCATCTCTAGGGCACAGGGCGAAGCCTGGTGCGACAGGACTCACGCTGGGACTCTCGACGGAGAAAGGAAGCATCATTTTGGGGATGGAAATGGCAGCCCCACAGCTCGTGGGCATGGGCAGGACTTTCCCAAAGGACTCAGCGTGGCCTCGAGAAGGGGATCGATGCCAGCTGTGCTGTCATGGTCCCGGGGGCCTGCATAGCACGAAGGAGGATGGTGATGGAGAAGGAGCAGGGTGGAGCTGGGCTGGCACGGAGGGTAGGCTTGCAAAGTGTTAGCCTTTTCCGTTGTTCCCCTCCCTTTTGCTCACAACCTGCCTCTCTGCTCCAGCTCGGACCCTGCTTGCAATGGGGGCCCTGCTCAGTGCATTTCCTTTGCAACTCCCCCCAGGATTAGCTCAAGGGCAGGAGCAGCAGGAAGGCAGGATGGGGAAACCCAAAACCCAGTGCAGGAGAGATGGCTTGGGAGGGGGATGCTGTGTGGCCTCTCCCCAGGCTGGGGCACAGGGGGCCCGTCGTGCTTTTGAACACAACGGCATCGAGTCCGACAAAGCCCCTTTGTGAACGCTTGCAGTTCAGGCCGGGAAGCCTGCAGCAGCCAGGTGACTTGCCCACGGTCACACAGAGCAGTCAGTGGCAGAGCAGGGAGGAGAACCCAGGAGTCCTCACTCCTAGTTGCCTCCGTAATACCTGCTGCCAAGGGGCATGAGCACACGATGGCAGCACGGCTGTGCGCGTCTCTGGGTCACGGCGTGGGCAGACACAGGCCGTGTCTCGGAGGGCAGGAGAGACGAGTGCCGTGCAGCTTGGCTTGCTCCACAGCACGCTGGCACAGCGGCCAAGAGTGCCACCACCAGCCATGCCCATGCAGGGGAAGACCCAGGGTCCCAGCCACTCACCAAGCTTCACAGTTGGGTATGGTCTCCAGTTTGGTGCCGCGAGATGCCCTCCAGGCTCGCTCCCGGTCTTCGTTCCTGGGGGGCAGACGGAGAGGTAGTAACCACGTTGCAGGCAGGCCCGTACCCATTCCCACCAGGACCGGGGGCCGGGACCTCATTATCCCCATGGCATCTGCTCAGGGGCTGCCAGCATTGCCCGGACCGTCCTTTTAAAGCTAAGCCCCGGATGCTCTGGGACCCTTGATGGGGCAGGATGGGAGCCCTGCTGCTCTCTCTGCATTTCTTTGTCTTCCTGGCAGGAAAGCAGCTGTCAAAGGTGGCTCGGACTCTGGCAGCAGCACGGATAAGCCCCTGCCTGGCCCACCAGCCACATGTGGCATCTGCGTTGCAGCACCTGGGCGGCAGGGGAAGGCCAGCTGAAGCACCCGGAGCACGTTCATACATGCCATTTCTGTGACTCACTCCCCATGAGCTCAGGCTGCGGCAGACATGCACAGACCTTCAAAGCTGCCTTTCCCTCTGCCCGGCTCCTCCGTGCATCAAACCTGCACCAGACAGCCCAACCCACCTGCCTTTTCTCCCCCTTGGACCAGCTGCCCCGCTCCTAAGCGCTAGGTGCATTTAAATGGACGGCCGTGCTGGTCCAGCCTGGCTCAGCAGCCCCTGGCTTTGCAGTCGAGAGGCTCCAAAAAGCAGATGGCGAGGATGGAGGATGTCAGTGGCCAATGCAAATGGAAAGGCGAGCGAGCTGCTCCGCAGGCAGGCATCTCATTTCCAAGCGTTCCTCCTTTCTGCTGATGTTTCACCCAGCCGCGGAGGGAGCAGACAGGGGCTAGCAGGGGGGTTATGCATTTGGGTCCGACTCTTCCGGTAAAGGGGGCTCCCTTCCACTTCCAGCTGGGTGGGTTTATAATGCTCGCGCCGAGAGCAAGTCCTAGCACAGCCAGAAAGGGGAGCTTCCATCAGCTACTGACACAACGTGCTTCAATCCCAGCTTTCCCTGCCTAGCCGTGCGCACCAGCAGAGCCAGAATCCTCCTCCCAGTTCACAAACTGGGAGAGGAGGCTTCCAAGCCCTTCCAGGTCCTAATCGTGCCCCTCCAGTCTCCACCAGAGAGGCTGTTCCCTTGCAGGAAGCCCCTCGAAGCCAGGGGCAGACACCTGCATGCACGACAAAGTACGAGCTGCGCGAGCCCCCCGGCTCTTGCATCCGCTCTCCAGGGGACTGCGCCACCTCTGATCCCGCTTGCGGGAAGAACAGCCACCGAGGAAGAGGAAGGGCGTGAAATAGAGGGGAACAGGTGTCCGCAGCCCCAATGCTGACAGCAGGATGAATAAAAAACACGCAGCAGTAATAGCTGGAGCTGGTCAGCAGGGGCCAGTGCTGCCTCGGACCAAACCCGAGGAGCCCTGGACCTCGCTGTCGGTATCTGAATTAATAAAGGAGAAGACGAAATCCTGCAGCTCTCCGAAGCGAGCTGAGCCCTGGCAGCTTCCGGGGGCAGCGGGTGCGTGTCGCGGGGGAAGGAGGGGGCTCTGCTTCGAGGCTGACTCAGATCTGAAATCAGCAGCTCGAGGGAAAGAAAGCAACCGAGCATGGAGCCGCTGGCAGTAACGCGACTTCGGGGGGGTCTCCTTGCTGGAAGCCTCCAGGCAGAGAGACGGATTTCCTGAGACTGCAGCAAGGGCAAAGCCGACGCCACGGGGATGGATGTGGGGACCAGGCAGAAATGCGCTGCTCAGACCACAGCAGGAAAGACCCAGGCTGCATTGCTAGGCCTTTATTTTACACCCCTGCGTCCCCCCATGTTGAGCGGGCAGCAATAGGAGACCTAGGCACTGCAGTGCTCATCTGACTCCTACCCCCCAAATCTCTGGGGCGCAGACACGCCGGTGAGAAGTCAGGGCTGCTGTCCGTGAATGGCACCGGATGATGCAGCAAGCTGCTGCTGGTAAAAAATACTCGTGCAGAGCTGCGTGCTCCGCGCCCGCAGGGTACACGGGGCCTCAGAAGGCAAGTCGCATCCTGCTCCTCTAAGGAAAGGGCTAACAACTGATCGGTTCCTAATGAGCCTTGAGAAACCACTCGGGATCATCACTTCTGGGCTACAGATGGGGAAACTGAGGCACACCCAGGCTGGCCCCGTACATGGGAAGCTAGCGGCTGAGCTGTGGTCAGCACTCCTGATGCCTTTGGCTGTGCTTTAACCACTGAGCCCTACTCCTCCGCAGGAAGACCGGCTCCCTGTCAGCCCGAATGCTGCCCAAGTTTGGTCGTCTCTGGCAAGAGCTAGACTAAGGGATGCTAAAAGCTGCAGACTCGAGGACGGGCGCGTGCACTCGCACACTCACACGCATGCACGCGCCGGAATCTGCAAGCTGGTCTGGACGGGTCTCGCCGGGGAAGCGCCAGGGCTGGGAAGCAATGCCCCTAGCAGGGTGTTTTCCACCCTGCCCTCTCACCTGGCAGGTGGGTTTTTTAGGCTTCCCCCTCTCTCTTATTTTTTCCAAAGCTCCCCTGCTCCTCGCCAGCCCCCGAGCCGTCCGCTGCCCGCTTCCCTCAGGCCTCTCGACTCGGACGCCCACGTCCAACCGCAGCAGGAAGAGCGCTTCCTGCTTGTGACACTCTCCCGGCTCTGCTCGGACCAGATTAACGCCGGGCCTTCTTCCTCCCCGGGCCAAAAGAGGGTGTTGGGGTGGGGTTGAGGGAACAGGCCGGGTGACAAGACGCTCGCTTCCTCCAGGTCCCTTTTCCCTGAGAAGAAGGCGGCTAAGACGGCTGGGACCAGGGCCGCCAGGCACCTGCGTGCCTATACGTCACCGATGCCCGTGCTCTCCATCACGTGAGGATACCACTTGCTCAGCCCAGTGTAGGTTTTGCCCTCTTGTGCTCTCTGCTGAATTATTTGGCTTTATTACAAATGAATATGCATCCAAAAAATGCAATTGCCACTTCTCACGACTTCTCTAGCAATGCAGGGTATGGAGAACATAAGATCTGCCATGTACTAGGTCGGACCATAGGTCCATCCAGCCCAGTCTCCTGTCTCACAGCGGCTGGGTCTGACCGAACTTTGTTCCTCTCTCTCTTGCAGCCTCCAGCATTTCAGGTCCAGGAAGGTCTGATGCAGAGGCCGTGCTCCTCACTCCCCTGCTCCATAGATAGCGATGCCCCTTTCCTCCCAGCACATGTCCACTCCCTTTGAAAATCTGGCTGAAAGCTCAGCTTCCCCCTGCAATGAGTTTTGCAGCCTTATGCTAGCCCCTGGCATAATGGGATTGCTTCTGCCCACAGCTGAAACGTGGCCCTGCCCGTGCAAAGCCTGGCAGTTTAACATTGCATGCAACTGCCTCGCAGAACAGACATGCAGGGGACTGCATTCACTTTCTGCCGGAGGAGAAGTCCAATGCAACCGGCCAAGGTGGAATCTGCTCTGCTTCGACGCTCCTATGTTTCCAAAAAGAGATGCTGGATCTTGTCCTGGGGCCGTGCTCCCAGCACCACACAGGGTGCTAGCATTGATTACCAAATCAATGCCATCTCCTCAAGAAACTATTTGTTCTGCAGAAGCCCCTCATCCAAATCCCCCAGCCCTGTCCTGCTTAGCTTGCAAAGCCTGACAAGTAGCTATGCCACGGCTGATGGACACAGATGCTGGGATGTCTATAATTCGGCTGAGTAGTTTAGCTCTGGTGGGGCCTTCCTGCAGCTAGAGGAAGAACAAAGTGATGGTTTTTGGGGGGGGTGGCAACTCGCTGCCACTTGGACCATGGGGTCTGGTGTCTGCATGAAGGAGGGGGGGCTCTGTGATGGACCTGGGAGCTTTCTGCTTGGGTTTCTCCCCTCTTCCCATTGCCCTGCTGGAAGTGGCTGTGCACGAGGCACCAGCTTGCACCATGAGCCAGTGAGGACAGACCCGGATGGGGCACCTGAGATAAGTGCAGCCTGTCTCTGTAGGGGTGGATACCTTGGCTTCTGGCATCAGGAGATGGGGGCAGGTGGCACCATGCATGGCTCAGGACTCTCCGCACTTCAGCAGTCCAAACTCATCCCTGGCATTTGCTAGCGGCTCCAGTCATGGGTTTGCCTATGGAGCTGCCTGACACAAGCACCCGGGCCAACGCTGCACGGACAGGACCTGCAGAGTCCGTCCTTCCAGGCTAGCTTCCCTCCCTCCATCCAGTCTGCTGAACAAGCGCTCTGTCCCCCCCACAGACAAGGCCTCCAGCCCCTCCCCACCTCCCCGCAAGTGGCCTAACCTTGCACCTGGTGTTCAGAGCCGAAACGCCATGCGACACCAGAAACAAAGGGTGTCTCGCTCCGGAGGGGGTCACTGCTGCACACAACTATGCAGCAGCTGCCTGCAGCTGCTCTTCCAGATGTTTACAGGGTTTCAAAACAGTTCCCAGCCTGCAAGCATCAGGCTCTGGCCAGGAGGGAACATTTATTTTCCCCGTTGACTTGGTTAACAGGGAGCAAAACCCCCATCTATAAAGGAATGGGCAAGCTGCACCGATATGAAACGACGCCCTAGAAGCTGTGGTGATGGAGCTGCTACATCTGCCTGCCCCGAGGGTGGTACAAGGTGACAAAACCATCGCAGCCTTAGCCTGGTTTCACCCCGGATTGAAACTGGGACAATTTTAGCTTGCTGGTGTTGCTACAGCATCGTGCTGATGTAGTAGCTCCAGTGTAACAGCTGCTGTGAGCCCCCAGGCACCCCTTTTAGAGCAGGTTCAAGGTCTGTCTGTCTGTGCATAGCCTCACTAGCTCCGGGGGGCAATCTAGTGGGGGTGACACGCGGCCACGCCAGGATTTAATGGGTTTCAGAAGAGCTTGTGCTGCCCTGTGCCCCCATGAGCCTCCCAGCTGCAAGCCCCTCTCCATGCCAGGCCCTGGAGAAAATGCTGCTGTTAGGTTTGCTCATCCAGGTACTAACTGCAGAGTCTCAGGACAAACCCTGCAAAGTCTCTGCGTGGTAGCCCACGTCTCTCCCTCTCACACGTATGGGGAGGCTCGCAGGGGCTCCGAACATGCGATGCAAACACCGGCCCATCTGCTCAGCAGGGTGTTTACAGTCGGTTTTTAAACACCGCATCGAAGCCGCTTCCCAACTATAAACCCAGCGCGAGCACGCGGATGCGCTGGCAGCCCGGACGTGCCGCCGGTCCCACGTGCGCTCAGGAAGTGTCTGCTGGCAGCAGCTACACAGCGGGGTTGGGTTGGGTTTTTTTTGTTGTTGCTTTTAAAAGACAAGGCTGCTGTCTGCGTTCTGGGAGGAGGGGAATCCACCGAGCCGCAAGCATCCAGGGGTGCCGAACTCAGGAGGAAGCTGGCTCTCTTCTGCACCGTGGAGCCCTGCCTGAGCATCAGGACCCTGCCGTGCTAGGCGCTGCATAAACGCGGGGTATAAAGATTGGCCGCTGCTCCAGACAGCTGACGCCCTAAGGAGAGGGTGCGGGTGGGGACAGCCTAGCCACCCCAATCCTGAGCTCGGCGCGGGGACGGACGTACCATGAGCAGCTGCAGCAGCAGCACCAGCAGAAGCAGCAGGCGTTGGGGCGATGGTGGCCGGCCGGTTGCACCGTTGTCGGAGACGTCTCATGCCGGGACATCGGACGGGGTCTCTCGGTGGACTCGGGTCCTGTGTACTGCAGAGGGGAAGAGCGCGGGGTGGGTGAACTCACCGTGGCCGCCAGCACAGTGCCCAGCCCAGGCCACACCTGGGATATCCACCTCACCACCCAGCTCGAGCCCCCTTGGACCACAACGACGGAAGAAAGCGTCCGCCCTGGCCCAGCCAGGAACCATCTCCCCTTTTCGCTCCCCTTCTCACCCCCAGGACCTGAAGGCTGGCAGCAGAGTGCCAGGCCAATCTGGGGCAACCCGAGGGTGCTCTTACTACACCATGCCAGGGGTCTGGTTTCTTCGTCTCCTACTCACCTGCTTCCCAGCCTCATACACGGTCGGCATGGATGGCTGCTGCTTTCCCTGCTGGCCCTCGGATGCTCTCCCGGCCTCCCGGGTGCCAGTGACCTGCACCGTGGATGCGCGCCCCGGCTAGGGCCCCTGCTGCCTACTGGATGGAGCCTGGGGGAAGCAAGAAGCATGGTTCAGGATTCAATCATTTCCAGGGCAAATCTCTCGTGCAGGCTGGAGGCCCAGGGGCATTCGAGGGAGTCCCTCCTGGTCCCCCTGCATTGCAATGAATTGCTAAGCTCTGCCTGGGCATCCATACTAGGGACAGCCAGGACGCCCCGAGCATCTGAACCCAGGGCAGGCACAGCTCTGGGGACTTCCAGCCTTGCTCTGTCTATTCCCAGCTCGCACTGGTTTGCCCCTGGGAGCTCCCGAGCACAGATTCAACGACCCGTGGCCGTGCCTGGGCAGAGCCGAGGAGGATGCAGCGATGAGAGCAGGTCTTTGCCCCCAGTGCGTGTGTTCCTCCTGGGGAAGAGTGGCAATCTGAACCCAGGGCAGGCACAGCTCTGGGGACTTCCAGCCTTGCTCTGTCTATTCCCAGCTCGCACTGGTTTGCCCCTGGGAGCTCCCGAGCACAGATTCAACGACCCGTGGCCGTGCCTGGGCAGAGCCGAGGAGGATGCAGCGATGAGAGCAGGTCTTTGCCCCCAGTGCGTGTGTTCCTCCTGGGGAAGAGTGGCAGGGGGGG